GTGTGTGTGTGTGTGTGTGTGTGCATGTGCGTGTGTGCGCGTACGAGCGAGCAATTTTGTGTGCATGAAAGGGTTTGTAGTTGGTTTTTTTACCACCCGTATGGGGCTGTGAGTTTGCTCTCAAGTATTAAACTCTATAGTTATGAGAACAGAAGGACAGATTTCAGCTCAATGAGCCAACAATATGGTCTCTCAGAGCGTTACGTAAACCTACAGAAATCTTTATAAATCTTCGCTCATGGACATAACATAACATTACAAAATTAAACAAAGTTTTTTTCAGCGGGTGGTTGGTGGGAGCTCTGGTGTGTGGTTTGCTCCTTCTTTCCTATCAAACATCTATCGTCCTGATCTCTCCTCCTTTTTTGTATTTGTTACTCTCTTGTAACACATTTAATCTTCGGCACTTATATGCAGAGGCGAAGCGTCTATATAATCAAATAATCACTGCTTCCCTTCCTAATTTTGAAACATTGTCGCAGTAAAATTCACCCACAGACGTAAACCTCATAAATTAAATGTAAAAAGACGTTCATAATCACTGATGAACAATAGACTATGCTTAACCTTCAAAACCGTTTCATTGCCACAGAAAAAGCCTGTTCGCCCCTATTGGGCCACTCCATAAGCAGTCACAAGCTTTGATTAAGTAAGCTTAAAGTGAGGCTGGAAGAGTCTACCAATAGAGTTAAAGGGAACTTGTGCATTGCAGTCCAAACTGTTTCATTGTCGCATATACCCTGTTCACCCCTTTCGAGCCACAGTTATAAGCAGCCGTACTCGCTGATTATGTAAGCTAACTATTACTCTGGTCGAGTCTACCTCACAGATGTGAGGGGAACTAACTCCTAATAATATCTTGACTGCTCCGTGTGCTTGTTTTTTTTCCTCGACTTTTTAATGTCCTATAATCAGATCGTGACCTCGATTATGACACCGGCTCCTGGCCGCGAAAAGCTAGACCAAAAAAAGCCAAATGTGAAATAAAAAATTAATAATTGGCATGCTCTACCAAAGTGTTTCGGCTGTCTGGTATAACATGCCATTGCAGTACTGGCATCTCTGCTTCTTTCCTTGGTGTTCGTGTGTTCAAATCTTAAGTTAAATTTAAGGTTAGTTAGAAAAAATATTGAATTAAATACTTTCCCGATTATTTTAGCGGTTGAATATGCATACAACATGAATTCAGGATTTGTTTTCATTCACAACTCAGAGTTGCCGACTCTAGTGCCAGTAAGATTCTTGTGACTTGTGTGAGTGTGATATCTCCAGGCCCTTTCTGGTCCTATCTCACTTTGATTACCCTGTCAAACAAGTTAGCCTTCGCCCCTGCTTATATGACCTTATTGTGTTGCAAGCAGAGGCAAAGCGTCTATATAATCAAATAATCACTGCTTCCCTTCCAAATTTTGAAACATTGTCGCTGTCAAATTCACCCATAGACGTAAACCTCATAAATTAAATGTAAAAAGACGTTCATAATCAAAATTGAACAATAGACTATGCCTAACCTTCAAAACCGTTTCATTGCCACAGAAATAGCCTGTTCTCCCCTATTGGGCGCACCGCTTAGATTTGATCCGTGATTCGACAAAACCTCCAGTCGGGAGGGATTTCAGAGACCCATTTTTTACTAAAACCTAAATGCTGACTACAGGTTCGAAATCAGCATGAAAAATGACACTAGTTTAATTCCAAACACACATATATAACACTATCTACGTCGTTGATAAATATTATGTACCCAGTAGCGCCTGCAATTCTGCATTCTTCTTCTCATCCGATATAGGAACATCAAAGCTTTTGCGTCCATTACAAAAGAAGTAAGTTCTCCGACGCTGTTCTGATCATCTAGATTCTAGATCTACATCTAGGCTAGCCTAGCATGCCATCATGCCCCAACCCTGATCTACTAACTACATGTACTGTCAACTAGATCTCTAGATGGCGTAAGCTAAAAATGTCACTCCAAAATTCCTACCGGGGAAAAGACGGGAGAGAACGAAGCCACTCCGCGGGCGGTCTCGTTCCGACTTGAAACCGTTCTCGAGCAGGGAAATCTCGTTGCACCTTTACTCGTGAACACAACTTAAGGCCGAGCTGAGGTTCGAAGTCCCGAACCCTAACTATAACATCACGATTGCGAGTCCGGAGACCAATTTTGTCTTTAAAATAGTGTTTCTGAAGTTTTAGCTTTACTTAGACTGAGAATGAGTTTTACTGGACTTGCAACACAAGCAGCAAGTTATATGAGTGCTGAAGATAAGTTTTTGGAGAGTAACATAACAAAAAAGGAGAGTAGGTATTATTGTGAGGCAACGTTGTGAAATCAGGCGCTCATCGGAATAGTGAAATCGTGTACGCGGGCCTTTTTTGCACCGATCTGGTAAATGTTCTCGGTTTTTTTCTTCTTTTGTTCTTTTGGGAGGGGGGGTTGTGGCTTAACACATTTATTGACGTCCATTTAAAAACATTTCTGAGAGGATTTTACGTTGATTAAAAGCACCAAAAAATGTAAATTTTCCGTTTTCAAAGACTCTCAAGCTATGGAAGCCACCAAACTTTGGCAGCCCTTCTGTCGCTAATTTTACCTTCGAAACCAGGCGACCCCCACCTCCTTAAATCGGAAATATCTCGACTTCTTTTAAAAATAAATGGGTATTTCTTTCATCGAAAGCAAGTCAAACGAACAAGCTCTAACAATAATTCTACATGCCCAAAAAATTTTGGCGCTTGATTCCACTGCGTCGTATCACTTATAATATGATGTGTTTGATTAGAAAGAGGGCACAGAACCCACCGGATCACCCGCCAAACAACCAAACTGAAGTTTTAACAACTTGATTATCGTCCTTACCTGTACATTATTCATGAAACGAACACATCACAGTCCAGTACGGATAATCATAAACAGACGCCGAGTTTCTAATTTCTAATTCACACCTCCGATGTCGGAATGCCAATGATCCTCCGCCCGTGGGGACTGGCGTTTGAAGCGAGCGATGTGTGTGTGTGTGTGCGTGTGTGCGTGTACGTGTGTGTGTGTGTGTGTGTGTGTGTGTGTGTGTGTGTGTGTGTGTGTTTGTGCGTTTGAGTGTGCGTGTGTATTATTGTGTTGAACTCCGCACAGAATCACTCGTTGGGCCCATTGCGTGTGAGCGAAACTCAACCAAAAACAAAACAAAACCACCAATAAACCAACAGCCCAGATCTTATAATCTATTAGGCTACCTATACGTTATTTTTTCCAAGCCTCGTCATATGGCTCTGAATGTCATTCGGTACTTTTACCAGTGTGGTGCCAGCCCAGGTCTGCCACAATAATAAACTGTTCTACCGTTAGTCCCGCCTGATTGACCACGGTCTAGGGCCTAGACCACGATCTACCTGCCTGTGCTGTGCCGAGAACAACACTTTGAGGGCGGCGATAAGGACAGCAAGTGACCAAACAAGACGTCGTCGATGGCCCCACGCTGGGTGCATTTACATCAAAAGCAAGAGGGAGGGGGTATAGGGGAAATTTATCAAAGCTAAGGTGGTGACCCTTACAGGTGCAGTGTGTCGCGTCGGCGCTTTGGTCGCTGTTTTCAGTACCTGATACAAGCAATACAAGTTACAAGCATCCAAACGGTAATCCGAAGTAATCGTGCACATGAACTTAATTTTCCTTTCTCCTGCTCGATATGTCGCATAGACTGCACCTAACTCTGCCCCTCACCCAATCCCCCCACCTCTTTATCTCTCTCTCCCTCCCTCTCTCTTTCTCTCTCTCTCTCTCTCTCTCTCTCTCTCTCTCTCTCTCTCTTTCTCTTTCTTTCTCCCCCTTCTTTTTCTCTGCCTTTTTCATTATCTACCTCTCTATCTATCTCTCTGTCTATCTCTCTGCCTATCTCTCTGTCTATCTATGTATCTCTCTATCTATCTCTCTATCTAACTGGCTGTCCGTACACAGTTATATCAGTTTATTTGTCTTTCGGTTTGTTAAGTGGCCTTTATTGACCGTTGGTCCCTCTTAGCTTGATATCAATAATCCTAAATCACTTTCCTCATCCAGGCATAGTTGAGTTGTCAGGTCATCGTGGTCAATGAAACAGCAACTTTTTGTTTCTTTTGGGTGTACATGTACTCACCCCTCGAACGATAAATCTTTCGGGTTTTGGTTTGTTTTTGTTGTTTGTTTGTTTTTTTTGGGGGGGTGGGTTTGTTTATTGTTGTTTTTGTTGTGGGTTTTTTTTTGGGGGGGGGTGGGGAGGGGGTAGGGGGGGCGGCATTGAAACGACAGGCTGGTGTAGAGATGCAATCTCATGTCGAGCTCATCAAGAGGAGTGAGTTTCGTTGGAGTTAGACCAGTACCTGATCTGATTAAATGTTATCGAGCCTCCTTTTTGAAATTTTGCACAAGCTAGACGTTTACATGTATCATAAGCGTCGGTGGCCTAGTGGTTACGCTCTCGGACTCACAACCGTAAGGTCGTGGGTTCGAATCCTGTCAGGGACCCGACGTTGTGTCTTTGGTAAAGGCACTTTACACGAATTTTCCTCACTTCACCCATGTGGGAATGGGTACCCAGCTATAGATAGGGAGCGCTTAATCAGCTGCTTGCACTGTATGCTTCCCTGGAATCTGAGAATGTTTCTGAGTGTTCTGTGGTGCTGCTATGGTAATAATATAGTGTAAAGCGCACTGAGCTTGCTGCGCTATACAAATTATGCTATTTATTATTTATTATTATTATTATAAGGCGCACCGTGCTGTAGCATACATTGATCATAACGCCATGAATGGATGCACATTATAATATCTGTCAGTTTTACTTCTCCTCAGCAGTCACAGCTGAACGCTGTGGAATAGCCTCTGAAAAGTAGACACTTGTCTCTTGGGGCGTTGTAACACTCTTTGAATACGACGCAGCTTTAGTAAAATATTTATAACACTACAGCGCGATATTTCTGACGCATTTCCCCGAACAAATACCATCGTAACAGTAAATTCACAACTTGGAGAGGGCAAAAAATCTTTAACTATACTGTTCTTCAAACGTGAAACGTGACAAGACGAAGGGTTTGTTCGACAACCACATAAATATTCAATTCAAATGACGGACCTTACCCACCCCATAGCTGCTCCTGTCCAGGCAACCCCCTCCGAAAGAAAGAAAAAAATAGAGACTACTTACTCAAACGAGGAAGGGCACTTTTAACCCCCTGTTCTCTGGGAATTTCCAATCCTTACGTGAAAAACTAAGGTACCAATTTGTTTTAACGACCCTGATGATTTACCGTCTGCTTTCGGTCTTTTTAAAATATTGGTGTTTTACGCCCCCATCGACAAAAGTTAGATAATTTAGAAGGTAGACTACTGACCCGGGTTGAGATGGATGCAATCCAACAGAAAGATCCGTCAGAAAGTAGAGAAAAATGTTCTCCCCACTCGGGAATCGAAGTCGGGTCTCCTGTGTGCGACAGCGAAGCGCCTAGCCACTACACCACAGACACTGATCTCTGCTTTCGTGACAGAAAGAACTACCTGCCGAGTGGGTGTGTGTGTGTGTGTGTGTGTGTGTGTGTGTGTGTGTGTGTGTGTGTGTACGTGCCTGCGTGTGTGTGTGAGAGTGTGTGAGGAA